TCCACTCCAGGGCGCTGGGCTCTCGGAGGGGTGAGGGAGAGGCTCAGGATGACCAATGGGAGCGGTGAGAGGAGGGGGGGAGGTGAGGGCGTGCCCACTTTCCTCTCCTCAGGTCCCTGAGAACCCAGATCTCTGGGTCGCTGCTGCGGCTGCCGCTGCCATTTCTCCCGCTACCGCCACTGCGGCCTCCGCCCCTGCTGATTGCCTAGCTGCCGCCACCACCACCACAGTGTGGGCCGGCCCTGGCGGAGAGACGTGGGCTCGCCAGTCACCACTGAGGCCTCAAATCCAGACCCTCGTGGGTTGGCAATGGATCAGACGGGGTGGCGGGGCAGGATGAAATCCGGCGAGGTGGAGGTGCGGTGTCCCGCTCTAAATGACGGTCGTGGCAAGCAACCGTCAATCCATTGATCCTGAGGCTGATTCCTCCGCTAGATGTGGGCAGAGGAGGCCCATTCCCTGGCCACAGAGCACAGGGGCCCCTGTCTCTCCCGGTGCCTTTCAGGAATCTGTTGAATGCCACTCTGGCTGACGGCGCCCCTCTACCAGCCACCCCCAAGACCATCGTCCTCCCTCAGGTACCTGGGCATGGCCAGTGAGGACCCTGGTTTGGAGGGTGCTGCTCCCTGTTGGGCACAGCAGTTGCCCGCGAGCGTCTCCCTTCTGCAGAGGCAAGGACGCTTCCCAGAAAACTCTCAGTCCTCACGGCTCTTTCCTCCAGAGTTGTCCTGCTGAGAGTCTTGGCCCAGGTGGCAGCCACGGCCAGCCTCCTTTGGACAGAGCAGCAAGCCATGTGGTGCTCGTCTCTGTGTGCCTCGCATCCGTGCACTCAGGGAGAGGGCCAGGGGAGGGCCTTTCTTAGTGCCTAGTTGCCGATTTCTCACAAACGAGTGCCCTCCGCAGCAGGGAAACATGGGTGTCCTGACTCGAGAGAAGAGGGTGGGACTTGCTGATGGAAGAGCCTGCCCGGTGCGTTCTTGTGGCCTGTGGGGCCTGCCTTGTGTGGCGAACTCCTTTGGCGGGTCATTCTCAACCTTCTGGCTTGACAAGGGTTTTCCTCGCCCTGGAGTTTGAAGGTCCAAGTTGTGTTGTGAGACCGTGCTATTTTTTGGCAGGGCAAATGAGGCCTTGGGGCAACCAGGTGGCAGAGGGATCACCTTGATCTCCTCCCCAGTCCGGTTTTGGCAGACAGGGCCCAACCTCGATTTCCAAAGAAGGATGCAAGGACCCGAGCAGAAGGATTTCAGAGGAGCTTAGACACAGCTGAAGGGAGTGGGAACCCTGTGCCGTACGACACGTGCGCCCTCGAGGAGGAGGAGAGAATCATGGAGCAAGCACAGAGAGCAGAAACGTCAAGATGGGCATGTGTGGATTTGGGGTCCAGGAAGGAAAGATGGAGAGAGAGCCTGAGTGTTTCTGAGGCAGTATTTCGAGATTCCAAGACTGACAGGGACCCCAAGCCATCCTTTGGGCCACAAGAACCACCCCCGCAGGCGTCACCACCAAGAATATCCCATCTGAGATTGGAAGAGGAAATGTGCTGATCGCTACCTCAAGGTCTGAGACATGTACAGAGAGGGTGAGTTGAAAGAAAAATGCAGAGAGAGCCCCTTCGAAGGAATGCTCCCCAACACGAAGACCTTCCACCGACACGCACCCCCCCTCCCCCAACCCAGGGACCTCCTTCCCAGTCGAAAGACTGGAAGCAGGGACGTGAAGTGTTGGAAGGACAAAACAAAGAGCTGAACTGCAAGTGAGTCAATCGTGAAATTGCCATCCAGTACGCGGATGAGTCTGTCCACTTGTCCCAAAATGATATTCCTCTTCCTGATCATGGCACCATGGTGAGCTGAAGTTTGAGCACTGGGGAAGGGGGCTGGGGGAGCATGGCGCCACAGCACCTTCTTGGACCTCTTTGGGCCCCTTCCCTGCGAGTGTCAAAAGAGTTCCCGATAAGGTCTTCCGGCGTTCTTGGGTTTGGAAAGGTGTCTCTTGGGATGGAGGGGGCGGCTCTTCCAACTGCTGGTCCGAAGCCTTGGCCAGGTCAGGCGCACCTGCAGGACACCCAGGAAAGACAACAAGGTGGGGAAAAGAAGAATCATACTCGGCCGCACGGCTGAACACAGCCACTTGGCCACACATCCACAAGGTGAGCGGGAGGAATGGGGAGTGCAGGGAGGCCCGAGCCATGCAGGCCAGCCCCATCCCTCTACTCGCAGGGGCAGATCCGGAGGCCTGGGCTGTGCCTCCAGGCGCTGAAGCCCCTGATTCAGCAAAAGTGCCTGGAACCACACAGGCAGTCCTGTCTCGGGGTCACAGGGCAGACTGTATCCTCCACTGTCCAGGCGAGCCTTCAAAGATGACCTGAGGAAGGGATGTCAGTGCTAGGCTCCTGGTCCACTTGGTCAGCCTGGCCCTATCCGGCCAGCTCCATCTTCCAAGCCAGAACCATCCATCCTTGCTTCTTGCCTTACTTCCTTCTCCATTCATCCTTTCAATGCTTCATCTGCAGGTCCCACTGATGGACGCAGACCACAGCATGCGCCTGCACAAGCACCTGGCCAGCGGCAGAGGGCGTGCCCACTCTCTCCGAGCCAGATGGACCCGTCGCTTAGCAACCGCGTGGCTCGTTGTGAGGCCAGAGGCGCTCGTTGCCGCACACGCGCGGTGGGGTTGGAGGGCTGGCTTCCACTCCAGGGCGCTGGGCTCTCGGAGGGGTGAGGGAGAGGCCAGGATGACCAATGGGAGCGGTGAGAGGAGGGGGGGTGGTGAGGGCGTGCCCACTTTCCTCTCCTCAGGTATCTGAGAACCCAGATCTCGGGGCGTTGCTGCCGCTGCCATTTCTCCTTCCTCCGTCGTCCCCTCCAGCACCGCCACTGCCCCAGCTGATTTCCTACCCGTTCCCCACACCCCCGTGGTGTGGGCTGGACTTTCTGCTGAGAGGCCAGCATGTCAGTCACCACTGAGGTCTCAAATGTGGACCAGGGTGGCTTGGCAATGGGTCCGACGGGCTGGTGGGGCACGATGAAATCTGGTGAGGTCGGGGTGAGGAAGATCTCCCAGTCTCGCTCTCAATGATGGTGATGGCAATTGTCAATCCATTGACTCTGAGACGGTTTGCTCCCCTAGATGTGAGCAGGGGAGGCCTATTCCTTGGCCACAGACCACAGGGGCCCCTGCCTCTGCCGGCGCCTTTCAGGAACCTGTTGAATAGCCCTCTCCCCCCAGCGCCCCTCCACCCTCTCTGCCCTAGACCATCTTCCCTCAGGAGCTGGGTCATGACGGGCGCAGACCTGTATGTGCAGTGTGCTCCTCCCTGGTCAGGCACACAAGTTGTCTGGCAGCATCCTCCTCAGACAGGCAGGAGGACGCTTCCCGGAAAACTTGCAGGACTCAGGGCTCTTTCCTCCATTGTTGTCTTGGTGAGAGTCTTGGCTTGGGTGGCAGGTACAGCCAGCCTCCTTTGAACAAAGCATGCAAGCCATAGGGTGCTCCTTTCCCTCAGCCCCACATCTGTGCACTCAGGGTGAGGACGAGCGGATGGTCTTCCTCCGCCCTTAGTCATGGATTTCCTCCAAGATTACTGTCCTAGGCAGCAGGGAAGCATGGCTTTCCTTACCCAGGAGAAGAGGGCAAGACCTGCTGACGGAAGAGCATGAGTGGTGGGCTCCCTGTTCCTCAGGTGGCCTGCCTAGGGGTGGCCAGACTCCTTTTTCAAGTCTTTTTCAGGCTGCTGACTTGACAAAGCCTTTCTTCCTCCTGGAGTTTAAAAGTTTGGGTCGTGCTATGAGGACGTGTTTTTTCAAGGAAAAAATGAGGCCTAGGAGGAACCAGGTGGCAGAGGGCTAGCCTTGATCTCCTCTCCAGTCCAGTGTTGGCAAACAGGTCCAGACTAAGACTTCCAAAGAATGGAAGCAGTGACCTGAGCAAAAGGGTTTAAGAGGAGGTGAGACACAGCTGAAGGAAATGGGAACCCTGTGCCCTGAAACACATGGGCTCTCAAGTAAGAGGAGAGAATCCTAGAAAAGACTGAGGAGCAAACAGAAGCACAGAGAACAGAAACATCAAGACAACATGTGTGGATTTGGTATCCAGTAGGGAAAGATTGAGAGAGAGCCTGAGTGTTTCTGAGGCAGTGTTTGGAGATTCCAAGATTGGCACTGACCCCAAACCATTCTTTGGACCATAAGAAGAACCCCCGGAGGGGTCATCATCAAGAATATCTTGTGCAGGACCACGAGAGAAACTGTGCTGAGTGCCACCCCAAGGTCTGAGAAGCTTGCAGACAGGGTGAAAAGAAAGAAAAAGCAGAGAAAGCACCTTCCAAGGAGCACCCCTTGCCCAGAAGACCCCCCACATCATCACTGCTAACCCCTGGGAACCCATCTAGAAGAGTGGCAGCCAGAGGATGAAGCACTGGAAGGCCAGAACAGACAGCTAACCTGCAAGTGGGTCAGTGGTGAATTTGCCATCCAGTCTGCAGTTGAGAGCCTTATCATCCAAACTGGCTTTCCTCTTCTTGTTCATGCCACCACAGTGAGGTCAGATTTTAGCACTGGGGGCAGGGGGCTAGGGGAGCATCAGAGCCATAAGCACCTTTTTGGACCTCTTTGAGCACCTCTCCTGCAAGTGTCACATGAGTTCCTGATAAGGTCTTCTGGCGTTCTTATGTTTGGAAAAGTGTCTCTCAGGATGGAGAGGGCCGTCTTCCAACTGCCAGTCTGAAGCCTTGCCCAAGTCAGGCACATCTTCAGGACACCCAGGAAAGCCAACAAGGAGGGGGAAAAGAATCACACTCAGCCACACAACTGAATGGATAAGGAAGAGGAATAAGGATGGTAGCCTGAGGAGCCCTAACATTAAGAGGTTACCATAGGAAACTAAGAAGGAGCCACTAATGGGTAAGAGGAAAACCAAGAATGTATAATGTCACAGAAACCAAGTGAAGAAAGTGCATCAAGGAGGAGGGAGTGATCAGTTGTGTCAAGTGCTGCTAATAGGTCAGATAGAATAAGAATTGAAAGTCAACCATCAGGTTTAGTAAGATGAAGATTATTGGTAATCTCGACAAGAGCAGTTTTGGTAGAGTGATGGGTGCAAAAGTCTGATTAGAGTGGATTCAGGAGAGAACAAGAGAAAATAAATTGCAAGCAGGAAACATAGATAATATTTTCTATATTATATTGCTAGATATGGGGCAGTGGTTGATGGGAGAGGGGAATAAAGAAAAGCGTGTATGTGTGCTGTTTGTTTTCAAGGTGAGGGATTTGCTGGAGCCAAGAACTTGAGGGGCTGGCCCCGTGGCGGAGCGGTTAAGTTCCCATGTTCTGCTGCTGCGGCCCAGGGTTTTGCTGGGTTAGATCCTGGGCACACACATGGCAACACTCATCAGGCCACCTGAGGCGGCGTCCCACATACCACAACTAGAAGGATCCACAACTGAAATATACAACTATGTACTAGGGGGATTTGGGGAGAAAAAGAAAAAGAAAAGAACTTGAAAGACAAAAGCGGGTGGGGTCTAGTGCCCAAGTGGAGGGACTACCTTTAGATAATATGTTTGGTTCATTTGTGGGAAGAGAGCAAAAGCGGTGTATATGGGCACAGATGTAGATAGGTGGGTAGGTGAGTGAGTCTGGAAACTCTTCTGATAGCTTCAATTGTCTCAGTGAAGTAAGAAGCAGGGTTATTAGTTGAGAGAAAGGCAATGGGAGTATGTGTTGTAGGTTTTTAAAGTTGTGTATGACAGTGAAAGGACCTAGAAAACAAAACAAAAAAACAGTTTGCAGAGAATCATTAAACCCCACCTGAGGTTCATGGTTATATGTTGAAATCGGGACTAGAGTGACAGCCCCCTTTCCTCTGGCCACCCTTGGGCCCGGGCGCAGCTGGCCTCCTTCGAGAGGGAAGTGAAGGTGTGGCGCTGATGGGAAAGCTCCATCTCTCCACGGGGCTTCCTGGGACCTGTAATTCGCCTGCCGCCTCCACCTTTTCCCTCAGGAACTTTGAGGGGAGAGAGACAAAACACAAGGCGCTACAGACAAGGCACGTTCGAAACTGAAGTCGCCCAACGTCAGTACGTTAGGAGCTATAGTTCCTGTCACCTCCCCAAATACCATTTCCACTCCCGTCTACGTGTCGCAGGCAATATCGGGGAAGTAACTTGGCCCGCCTGGTGGGGAGGTAAAGCCGAGGAGCTTCCCTGCGAGCACAGTGGGAATTGTCGACCTCAAGGCAAGGCGCATTGAGGCCTTTAGTGCCCCGTCGTCTCCCTTCTCTACGATCGCTAGGGGACGCTGGGGAACAGGCTAGGCTGCAGGGAAAGGCGAAACTACGGAACTTGGGAGGGATCGCGCTGGAAACTGCAGCTTCCACATGTTGGGACATAGTCGCAAACTGGAAAAGCGGTCCCCTAGCCGTCACGTTCCCTGGAGCGAGCGAGAGAGGCGTGGCCTGGGGAGCGCACACGGTGGACGCTGGGAAAGGGAGTCCCGCCTCTGCGGCCCAGGCCGAGGGTTGTGGTCCGCCTGCGGTCAGGAGAGTTGTTCCGAGCCCCTAGCCCGGAGGGACAAGTCACTGGCCCGAGGGAGATCCCGCACTACTCCCGCCTCGCCCCCCTTTCACACCCTTCTCCTGTCCTCCCTTCTGGTGTCTGTCTCTGAACTGGACGGGGAGAGAGGCTCGAGACCAACGGAGAAAGAAGGCAGAAGAGCGCGGGAGAGTCAAGGAAGCAGTCGTGGACCGGGAGGGGGCGGGGACAGCCTCCCGGGCTCGCAGGCCGGAAGCCTGTGCGGTGGGAGACCGGGCCCTGGAGAAGACGCCCCCGTCTCGCTGGCGCGCTTGCGCCCTGTGAGTCCCTGGCCCCGGCGGCCGCGAGAGGCCTCACTCTGCCCCGTGCCCGCACGCACGTGTAGGCGATGGGTCTCGCGTGTCTTCCCGCCAAAATTCGGTGGCAACATTTCCCAGTTGAGCAAGGCGGAGGTGAGCCCTTTGCAGAGGTCGGGTGGCCCGGAAGGTTGTGATTGCTTTGGCTCCTACGCGCGTCCCCGCTCCCGACCAGCTGCCTCCAGACATCGCTTTCCCCAGGTCGTCCACACGGAAGGCAAAGGGACGGGGGAAGGTGGCGGGGCAGCCCAGGCGCCCTCTCACGGCTTTGCCTTCCAGCCGCCTCCCTGCCTGCCTGTTTGCCTCGGTGAATCCAGAGAAATGTTTGGGTAATGCTCTGTTTCCTATCAGTTGTCTTTATAATAGATTTTCCTTTGTGGCTTCTTCAGACTTGGTGGGGCTCGGGTGCTGTCATCGTATGGGGCACAAGGAGACCCTTTATAACCACAAAGAGCCAGCTGTGCACCCAGGCCGCTGATGCAGGGCCTCTGTCACCAAGGCCAGAGCCTCATGTGCACGTCTCACAAGTCTGGTGATTATGGCACAATAGCTAAGAACATGCCTGGAGTCTGGCGCTCTGGCCCTGCCACGTTCCAGCTGTGTGGCTGGAGAAGGGTATAGCGGTACCTTTAGGTAGGGCTGCCACGTTCAGCAAATAAGAATGTGGGACATCCAGTTAAGTTTGAATTTCAGTTAAAAAACGGGTAACTTTTTAGTACGAGTATGTCCCAAATATTTATCTGAAATTCAAATTTAACCAGGAATCAAATTCAAACTTAACTCTATTTTATCTGGCAACCCTGATTTAAGGGATGAACATGTCTTTAGAACAGTGCCTGGCATGCGGAAACGTGCAGTAAGATTTATATAAAAAGGCAAAACTCCTCCCACCACACCCCCACAAACACTTTAGTGTCTCTAGTCATCTGGCTGTGCTATCTGAAATGGCCAGCCCTCAGAAATCCACTGTCAAACAAGGTCAGTTTAAATACCCCACTGCACTATAGTGATACCAGTCCACCATCAAAAAGGGCCAGATTCCTCCTGCCTCCCAGTGCTTGGCACATTCATGTGGGGATTTTCAGGTTCTGAGTAATGTTGGTGCTGTGTCACTGGACACAAGGGTGTGTGTAGGGGTTAGGGGAGTCTGACCCATTATGATGCTGGAGCCAGTGACTCTTTCTATAGGAAGCTGTGTCTGGAATCTGTCTCTCTAGAATGAGGGGCATGCTATCTTCCGTGGAGGATAAATGTGTGAGCTAGGAGGAAATGGAGAGGGAATGGGGAGGCCTGTGATGTCGTATGCCGTGAGTAACAGGTTTTCCCAACTTGGAGAATGCATCTTGAGTGGCACTGGTCTCACTGAGCTCATTGAGACGTCTGCCGTATGTGAGAAAAGACTGAGAAGTCTAAAGGAAAAAAGGAAATACCGAAGTGGCAGGACCTAGGATGATAAATGTAAGTCTATTTGAATCTTAAGTTTCTCTTTTTGTCTCTCCTATTCTCTCTCAATCTCAGGATGCCCCTTCACTCGTGTCACTATAATAGCACCCTGAATTTATATTATACATTTTCATTATAAAGCTTTTTGAATTTTATCTCACTTTAATTTTTATTTTTATTTATATTTTAAAATTTATTTTTATTGAGTTCATAACAGTTTACATCAATGTGAAATTTCAGTTGTACATTATTTCTTGTCTGTCACCACGTAAGTGCTCCCCTTCACCCCCTGTGCCCACCCTGCAACCCCCTTCCCCTGATAACCACTGAACTGTTTTCTTTGTCCCAGTACTTGTTTATAGTCCACATATGAGTGAAATCATCTGGTGTTTGTCTTCTCAGACTGGCTTATTTCGCTTAGTATAATTCCCTCCAGGTTCTTCCATGTTATTGCAAATGGGATGAATTTGTCTATTTTTCTGGCTGAGTAGTATTCCATTGTATATATATATACCACATCTTCTTTATCCAATCATTGGTCGGTGGGCGCTTGGGTTGCTTCCATGTCTTGGCTATTGTGAATAGTGCTGCAATGAACATAGGGGTGCATATGTTACTCTGGATTGTTGATTTCAAATTGTTTGGGTAGATAGCCAGTAGTGGGACAGCTGGATCATACGGTATTTCTATTTTTAGTTTTATGAGGAATCTCCATACTGTTTTCCATAGTGGCTGCACTGGTTTGCATTCCCACCAGCAGTGTATGAGGGTTCCCTTCTCTCCACACCCTCTCCAACATTTGATATTTTTAGCCTTAGTGATTATAGCCATTTTAACAGGTGTAAGGTGATATCTTAGTGTAGTTTCAATTTGCATTTCCCTAATGATTTAGTGATGTTGAACATCTTTTCATGTGTTTATTGGCCATCTGTATATCTTCTTTGGAAAAATGTCCATCTCCTCTGCCCACGTTTTGATCGGGTTGTTTGCTTTCTTATTGTTCATTTGTGTGAGTTCCTTATATATTATGGAGATTAACCCCTTGTCAGATATATGATTTGCAAATATTTTTGCCCAATTGGTGGGTTGTCTCTTTGATTTGATCCTAGTTTCTTTTGCCTTGCAGAAGCTCTTTAATCTGATGAAGTCCCACTTGTTTATTTTTTCTATTGTTTCCCTTGTCTGAGAGGCCATGGTATTTGAAAAGATCTTTTTCAGTTTGATGTCAAAGAGTGTACTACCTATATTATCTTCCAGGAGTTTTATAGTTTCAGGACGTATCTTCAAGTCTACCATTTGGAGTTTATTTTCGTGTATTGTGTGAGGTAATGGTCTACCTTCATTGTTTTGCATGTGGCTGTCCAGTTTTCCCAACACCATTTATTGAAGAGACTATCTTTTCTCCATCATATGGTCTTGGCACCTTTGTTGAAGATTAGCTGTCTGTAGATGTGTGCTTTTATTTCTGGGCTTTAAGTTCTGTTCCATTGATCTATGTGCCTGTTTTTGTACCAGTACCATGCTGTTTTGATTACTATGGCTTTGTAGTACATTTTGAAGTTAGGGATTGTGATGCTTACAGCTGTGTTCTTTTTTCTCAGGATTGCCTTAGCAATTCGGGGTCTTTGGTTGCCCCATATGAATTTTAGGATTCTTTGCTCTATTTCTGTGAAGAATGTCATTGGGATTCTGATGGGGATTGCATTGAGTCTGTAGATTGCTTTGGGTAGTATGGACATTTTAACTATGTTTATTCTTCCAATCCATGAGCAAGGAATCTCTTTCCATCTCTTTAAGTCATTATCAATTTCTTTCAGCAATGTCTTATAATTTTCATTGTATAAATCCTTCACCTCCTTGGTTAAATTTATTCCTAGGTACTTAATTTTTTTAGTTGCCATTGCAAATGGAATTGTATTCTTGAGTTCTCTTTCTGTAAGTTCGTTATTGGAATATAGAAAAGCAACTGATTTTTGTAAGTTGACTTTGAATCTCACAACTTTACTGTAGTTGTTAATTATTTCTAATAGTTTTCCAATGGATTTTTTTGTTTTGTTTTCTATATATAAGATCATGTCTTCTGCAAACAGCGAGAGTTTCACTTCTTCACTTCCTATTTGGATTTCTTTTATTCCTTTCTCTTGCCTAATTGCTCTGGCCAAAACCTCCAGTATTATGTTGAATAAGAGTGGTGATAGTGGGCATCCTTGTGTTGTTCCTGGTCTCAGGGGGATGGCATTCAGCTTTTGCCTATTGAGTATGATGTTGGCTGTGGATTTGTCATATGTGGCCTTTATTATGTTGAGGTAATTTCCTTCTATCCCCATTTTGTTAAGAGTTTTTATCATAAATGGCTGTTGGATCTTGTCAAATGCTTGCTCTGCATCTATTGAGATGATCATGTGGTTTTTATTCCTCAATTTGTTGATGTGGTGTATCACATTGATTGATTTGTGGATGTTGAACCAGCCCTGTGTCCCTGGTATGAATCCCACTTGATCGTGATGTATGATCCTTTTGATGAATTGCTGAATTTGGGTTGCCAAAATTTTGTTGGGAAGTTTTGCATCTATGTTCTTCAGCGATATTGGCCTGTAGTTCTCTTTTTTCGTGGTGTCTTTGTCAGGCTTTGGTATCAGAGTGATGTTGGCCTCATAGGATGTGTTAGGAAGTGTTCCATCCTCCCGAATTTTTTGGAATAGATTTAAAATGATAGGTATTAAATCCTCTCTGAAAGTTTGGTAGCATTCCCCAGGAAAGCCATCTGGTCCTGGGGTTTGATTCTTTGGGATGCTTTTGATTGCTGTTTTAATCTCTTTCCTTGTGTTTGGTCTATTCAGATTATCTGTTTCTTCTTGACTTAGCTTTGGGAGATTGTAAGAGTCTAAGAATTTATCCATTTCCTCTTGGTTATCCATTTTGTTGGCATATAGTTTTTTGTAGTCTCTTATAATCCATTGTATTTCTGTGGAGTCTGCTGTTATTTCTCTTCTTTCATTTCTGATTGTTTATTTGAACTTTCTTTTTTTCTTTGTAAGTCTGGCTAGGGGTTTGTCAATTTTATTTATCTTCTCAAAGACCCAGCTCTTTGTTTCATTGATCCTTTCTACTACCTTTTTTGTTTCAATAGCATTCATTTCTGCTCTGATTTTCATTATTTCTCTCCTTCTGCTGACTTTTGGCTTTGTTGGTTCTTCTTTTTCTAATTCAGTTAGGTGTAATTTGAGATTGCTTATTTGGGATTTTTCTTGTTTGTTAAGATGTGCCTGTATTGCAATGAATTTCCCTCTTAATACAGCTTTTACTGCATCCCATATGAGTTGGTATGGCATGTTATCGTTTTCATTTGTCTCCAGATATTTTTTGATTTCTCCTTTAATTTCTTCAGTGATCCATTGCTTGTTCAATAGCATATTGTTTACTCTCCACATCTTTCTCCTTTTCTCAGCTTTTTTTCATGTAATTAATTTCTAGCTTTATAACATTCTGATCAGAGAAGATGCTTGTTATTATTTCAATCTTCTTAAATTTATTGAGGCTTGCCTTGTTTCCCAACATATGGTCTATCCTTGAGAATGTTCCTCGTGCACTTGGGAAAAATGTGTATCCTGCTGTTTTTTGATGGAGTATTCTATATATGTCTATTAAGTTCAACTGGTTTAGCTTTTCATTTAATTCCACTGTTTCATTTTGATTTTCTGTTTGGATGATCTATCCATTGATGTGAGTGGGGTGTTGAGGTTCCCTACTAATATAGTGTTATTTTTAATATCTTCTTTTAGGTTTTTTAATCGTTGCTTTATGAACTTTGCTGCTCCTGTGTCAGAGCATAGATATTTATAAGTGTTATTTCTTCTTGATGTAGTGTCCCTTTGGTCATTATATACTGCCCCTCTTTGTCTCACTTTCCCTGCCTTATCTTGAAGGCTACTTTGTCTGATATAAGTATTGCAACACCTGATTTCTTTTGTTTGCCATTAGCTTGGAGTATTGTCTTCCACACCTTCACTCTGAGCCTGTGTTTGTCATTGGAGCTGAGGTGTGTTTCCTGGAGGCAGCAAATTGTTGGATCTTGTTCTTTAATCCATCTTGCTACTCTGTGTCTTTTTATTGGAGATTTCAATCCCTTTACAATGAGGGTGATTATTGTTGTATGAGGGCTTAATGCTGTCATTATATCACTTGTTTTCCAGTTTTCTGCATTTCCTTTGTTTCTCATCCTGTGTGTTTTGATCTACCCATTGGATTATGTAGTTTTTAATGATGTGTTTCTTCACTTTTTCCTTATTTATTTTTTGTGTCTCTATTCTGCTTTTTAGTTCAGTGGCTACCCTGAAGTTTGTATTCAGAATCTCGTGTATAAGATAGTCCATTTTCTGATGGCCTCTTATTTCCTTAGTCTAAACTGATTTCAGTCCCTTTCCTCCTCCCCTCCTAAGCTGTTTTTCTCATATCTTATTCCAACTTGTGTTGTGAGTTTGTGGTTAAATGACAAGATTGTCTTTGTTTTTGGTGTTTTCCTTCCCTTTAGCCTAATGCTATAGTTGAACATTTGCTATCCTATTCTGATTCTGTCTACCTGTTTATCTCAATACTCTGTGTTTTGTGACTCCTTTCTTCCTTTTTTTCTTTTTTCAGGTATGAGGGCCTTCTTGAGGATTTCTTATGTGTGTGGGGGGCGGTCTCGGGGCTATGAAGTCCCTTAGCTTTTGTTTGTCTGGCAAAGAGTTAATTTCTCCCTCATATCTGAAGGATGTTTTTGCTGGATAGAGTATTTTTGGCTGAATATTTTTATCCTTTAAAGTTTTGAATATGTCATTCCATTCTCTCCTAGCTTGTAAAGTTTCTGCAGAAAAATCTGCTGAAAGCCTGATAGAGGTTCCTTTGTAGGTTATTTTCTTCTGCCTTGCTGCCCTGAGTATTCTTTCTTTGTCATTCATTTTTGCCAGTTTTGCTACTATATGCCTTGCAGTAGGTCTTTTTACATTGACAAATCTAGGAGATCTGGAAGTTTCCTCCACACATATTTCTCTTTCTTCCCCTAGATTTTGGAAGTTCTCTGCTGTTATTTCTTTGAACACACTTTCTGCTCCATTCTCCTTCTCCTCACCTTCTTGAATACCTATAATTCTTATGTTGCATTTCCTCCAGATATTTCT